CAACAGAAATTAGCAACAATTATAAATCGAATTGCTGCATTGGATTTGGATCGATTGAGTGAACAAGAAATTGTTGATATATTAATTGAATCGATCATACAAATGAATCAAATTAAAGAACAATGGGGTCGTCTTATTCAATTCTTCTCGAAATTATCCGTTCAAGCTGATAGTACACAACAGGTGCGTGAATTGTGGCGAACTTTAAACTGTAGAAAACTTCTTATTTTCTTCTTCTTAGATCGTCATTCATGAATTTGTCGCTGCTATTAAAGAAGCTCAAGCTAATAATTTACTTCTTGATCCAAGCGATCGAGAATTGTTTGTAGAATTATTGACCATAACTAGTCAAGAGATTGAACGAGGTGCTCATTTACTCTATGTTATGTCTAAAACGTATTTTGATGTTTCATCAGAATATATGATTGGTCAAATAACAGCGTCTGGTAATCTAATTCTACTGCAAACTGATACAGAACGATCGACTTATCTTCGTTCACTCTCTCAAAATACCACGTCTACATCAATAAGAGTAACAAGTCTAGCCCAAGAACGACATCAGGAATATACCACACGCAATCGGGCTCGTCGTGCTGAATACGAACGGTTTTTGACTCAATTGGCATTAGAAGATTTGGAAGGAAACGTTGGTTGATATCATAGACTAATCATGAAAAATAAATAAAGAATCATGTCACATTTGTAATGTAGACGAATTTAAGACAAAAAAAGACAACTAGAGATTCTTGTCGGTTTATTTTTGCCATTGATTGATGGTTGCACTATTTGCTCGGCGTATTAGTTAGCATCTGTATTTCACGACGCCGTTTTTTTTTATACGTTTTCTTTATCATTCGTTGCGACAGCGATCGATAGGTTGATGTCCAAAGGACCAGATGTTCTTTCTCGTCGGAAATTGTTCATCTCATTCTCAATACCTGTAATGGACAGATCGAAAAATTTTAAAGCCTCCCTTGATGAAAACTGAAAAAGATGTACATAATTTCGACTAATCATCTATTTGACTGGTTT